GTATCACTTTGAAAGGAGACAAGTATCACTTTGAAAGACACTTCCCTTGTTTCTTTTGTTTGGATTTTGGTGTTCTGTGTGGTCATCCCTCTTTGGAAATCATCTGTATGTAGTTCTCCAAAGACTCAGAACTGTGGGACAGCCAGAATCACTCGAACAGGCGTGATGAAACACCCGAAAGCACCTAGCTCAATGAGCTTGAACTGTCCTATGCCATCGTCTCAAAGCTCAGGTTCCATTCATTTGTAACATGTTGTAGCGCGACCCTGCAGCCTGTGGGTCCATCCATTTTGTTGTTTTTCCTCAAAAATCTTGGGGAGGTCGAACATGTCCATGCAGCCATCGTCTCATCCAGTCTCACCAAAGTTTCCTCATCCATGCAACGACCGATTTTGGCGACCCAGGGAAGTCATGGGCTTGGAGGAAAGAGAAGCCGGATTGAATGCTTGACATCACAACTCTTTCTTTTCCTTTCATGCCTCGCTTCTTCCAGAACACCGTCGCCACATCAGAGTCTGTCTGACTCTGACTCGTCTGTCTGTTTTGGACCCCAACACATCTGACTTTGGTCGACTGGTTCTCCATCGGGCTACGACTCGCCCCCTTTTCCAACCACTCGGAGCAGAGCCGAACAGCTGCAGAGCCGGCGAGGTTTGGTCCTGGAAGTGGATGGTCCACATCATTTTGCACGGAGATTGCCTGAAGGTTTGGCCCGATTTCGGATTCCGAACGCCCGATTTTGGATAGTTGGTACATGTCAAATACTACGTTAGTCTCTTTGGATGTTCCGTTTGCTGGGGATTGGATTTTTCTCGAGCTCAATGAGTACATCAACGGCAGTATCAACGGCTATACTCCACTGGGGTTCGAATGGCTGTCACAAGAATCGTGGATCGTCAGCGAACGCAGAAGAACCTACCAGGCCTGCCGAACTATGCCACCAGATAGAGGAAGACTCTCCGGCTTGGACTGCTTTGGAACCCCAGCAGGATCTGAACAAAAGAAACACCTTTGGAGGGAGCTTCAGAGAACTTAGATCGTTTTCTTGAACTAACATGGAAGTGGAACACCCACTCAGCTTCGCCAGGTGATCTCGTGCTGCAGGGCGGCTCCCAGTTGAAGCAGCGCTTGCTTCAGCGCTTGGGGTGGCAGGCCGTGGGATGGTCTTGGGCTCCATTTCGGGGTGTTTGGAGTGGATTTGGAGGGTCCAACTGGATCCCGGGTTTTCTCCGCCGACACCGTGGGTTTGTCCACACAAAAGTCCCATCCACATCGTCATCCACCTAGACATGGATGTCGCAACCGCTGGCTGAGCTTCAATGATCTTGAAGCTATTACTCACCACATCGGACTGAAGGTTGGGCAAGGAATGGAGACGGTCTTGGAATCGATCATGGTCGACCATGGATGTCTGGATCGATCCACCTGATTGTCCCAAAGACCAGGACTGATTGTCCACAGAGCTCAGTTGGTCTTCTGATTGCCATCTGATAGTCTTCAGTTTGTCTGTTTTTCAGCTGGAGTCACCTCTCTTCGTCGTTCTTTCGTCCTTCGCCTCTGCTGGTTCGGAACCGGTGTTCCTCTGGTTCGGTGTTCCTCTTCTTTCCTCATTCTGTTTCTCTGTTCGTCTATACGGTGTCCTCGGTGTGCTCGATGGGCCGATGGCGGTCTGATCCGGGCTCCGAGGTTAAGTGACCTTATAGGACCCTACAGGGCTGCTGGGCTGTGGGGTGCGAACAGAAGGTCATGGGGAAAAACTTCAAGAACTTGAGAAGCAGCGGAGCACACGACCACCAGCCCACCAGCGGTCGGAGACGCCGCAAGACCAACCCAAGTTATGCTATGCACTACGACCCTTGGAATCCCATTCAGGTTCTATGTGAATAGTTCGGGGTGTTTCAATGCCACCTGACACATCCATACTCCTGGAGAGGTCCTGGACTTCCGAGGGTTTTTTGAGGCAATTGTTCGATTGAGATCCTACGTTTGTTTTCGAAATCCCCTACATTGCCCTACATGCTCAACAGACCTTAAAAAAACCAAGATACAGGTGTCGCTTCCACCACGAGCCCGCTGGGAAGATCCAGCTCCATCCACCCAGCTATACCCAGCTCTTTTCATCCAGCCAGGTCATACCCAGCCGGTTTCCGCCAGGTGCTCCGCGTGGATTGGGAGACATGGCGCCGTGACCCGGAGGGCGCCGTGGAGCGCCTCCTGAGGAGGTCCAGCGGTGCCGAAAAGCAGCGCACGCAGGAGCGCACGCAGGTCACGTCTTGGATGGCGGTTTGCTGACTAACTCTATATAGGAGAGTTTGCTGATAACTAAGTTTGATGTTCCGAATTGGCTGACTTTGAGAAGGCTCAATTGAGTCTTGTAGAATCCCGCAATCAAAATGAACATGATGAGCATTCAGCTTGACTTTTCTCATGTCAATCATCCTCAAAGAACCTTTTGCGCAACTTAACAAACAGATAATAACGGTATAATACGGTAGCAGTCCCCAATCAGTGGACTGGACTGGAGAACTTCAGAGGTTTAAGCTGCACTGTTTGAGCAAGGACCGAGGAAGAGTGACCGTAATAACGTCCTTCCTTGCTCCTAGTAAGCGATGCCAGGAGCCCCTAGTAGCGTCCTTGCTCCTACAAAAATTGTCGGGACCGTGGAAGAGTGACCGTGGAGAACGAATACGTCGAGGAGGATGAAAGAAGGGAGTGGGTGAAGAAAAGGTGTGGAAGAAAGAAGGAGGGACCAAAAGAAAGCCTGCACAGCGAATGTAAGAACCTCAGAACCTTGAGGAACACTTTCTCCACCAACTTCTGCCGGGAACCGGTGCCATGGTGATGATTGGAAGCAGGCAGTATGGGAAGCTACGGAGCAGCACAGGTCGGGGTCGACAGCGGCCAGAACAGCACAGGCAGCGACTGCCGGAACCAGTCGCGGGCAGGCAGCAGTGAGTTGAGTTGAGTGAGTTGCGTTGAACTGAGTTCAGGTGAAGTGAGGAGGAGGTGGGGGAGGGAGGGGAGGATGGGGAGGTGGAGGAAGGGGAGGAGCAGGAGCAACAATGCCACCGAAAACAAATGCAACATCAAGACCTCGAGATGCTTTTGACATCTTTTGACCATGAGGGAATACATCTTCGTCAACATCCATTTGGAGATGTTGGCCTGCAACCTAACCATCATCCACTGGGCCATGGTATTGGTATATATACCCAGGCCCAACATCCATATTTTTCGGTCCCCTGCAAGAAAACAAAACACACGTTGGCTCACATGCCCTAGTGACAGGGATCCACACCTCAGGTGGGAGTACCTCAGGTTCGGCATGTAGATCCATCAGGATGGGACAAACCTGGGACAAGCCTATGTTTTGAAGGTCGGAGTTGGTCGGCCGACGGCGTTCTTCACCACCCCCGGGTGCTTCGATCGAACCAGCGGAAGAGAGGGTCCAATGGCGGTTGCTTCTCGTGGATCCCCTGGACCAACCATGGGCGAGGGAGGTTTGTGGACCTTCCCACGAAACATCGAGGGTTTCAATGCTGATCTATATAATCTATAGAACTCCTATGTTGCATGTGGTTGCATGTTGGCGTAGCCAAGATCATTTAGACATATTTCAAAGATTGTGTTTCCAGGCGTTGTTGTCTAAACCCCTTAGTAAAGCCATGGTTGTTCGGGCTCGACACTTTTACGTCAATAATGGTTGGAAGGATGTCGGGTTGCATAATCTTGAAAAGTACAACATCCCAAAGCCCCAGCGTACTTACTATTCAGCTGGACCTCCGCTGCTTTGATCCATGAAGTAGGTACCTTTCCATACTCAAGATTGCTGAATTGAGTATGGAGTGGTCCAGATTTTTCGGACCTCTCTGACCTGGCATAGCACATATCTTCGGGACCGCAGACCTTTGGCTGGAGTGAGAGTTGAACACGCAGATCGCATTCAGCACGACGTAGATCCGACCGATCTGTCGATGACTTTTGCAGATAAAGACAGGGGCGATGTGTTCCTCCAATTTGGGGTGATGTTTTCTGAACACATGCGGCGCCTCTTTTCTTGGGTTAAGCGCAGCAGCTCGTACATCAAACCGCGCCTGTCTGCAAGAAACCAAAGGAAACAGAGGACAAATCCCCCACGTCAAACCGCGCCCTTGCCTCGATTCTTGAACATGCGATTAGAGTAAAGAGGATCCAGATGCAAGGCTTGAGACGGCTTTTCGGGAGATTCACCAAGTGAAATGCACTTTAGAACATGGCACGTTTGATATTGACAGGCTTGGTTGGAGACATGGCACGATTCATGGAAGAGACATAGACTGACATAGACATGAGACGACCGGCTACTAGCAGTGCTGTGCAAAGCATGGTGGGAAGGAGAGTCTCCGATACCTCAGTGTGCGATAGATGTTTTCCTTTGCGACGGTGTCACTGATAAGTCGCCTCCCTCAGCAGATCCCCCCAAGAAGAGACGCAGATTACTGGTGATTACGGTGCCACTTTCCTTCTGGCAGCGCCATGGATGAGAAATATCAAAGACTCAAGGCGATGACGTTACAGGAATGCAGTTTCTTCTTGCCTGCCGCCACGGCCGTCTGACATTTTTTGTTTTATCACCCTGTTTTCATGGGTCTTCCTCAAAAGACACACAATTGTGGATGTCCAAGATTTTTTCTTGGCGACAAATCCGATGGGAGCACAGTTGACAACTTCACGCAAGTACTGCATCCATGAACAATCTGCCTCATCCATGCATAATTGTACCGACCTTGTCACATTCTCCTGAAACCAGAGTCAGTGACTCAGTGACTCAGTGCCCGCACGTGTGCACCTCTTCCAGGTCTTGGGCAAAGGCAGCTTTGGCAAAGCTTACCTCGTGAAGAACACCGAGGCGACGGGACGGGATGCGCCCGCCGGGGGTCGCCAACTTGGAGGTATCTCCCTATCCAGTGTTCAAGTGGAGAACCTTTGACATCAGACCTTTCTGATGGGAATTGGTTTCTCCAGTCAAGAAGAACAGGTGGGTTGTGACCTTTTCTTCCAAGACTGAGGGAGTTGGCATGCCAAGGATTGCAGAAAACTCTGGTGTTGGACGCACATGTGGTTGGTGGTTTACAAGGAGGTGATGACCGTGATGCCTTGCCAAAAGGATGTGATGCCATCGCCAAAAGGGATGACCACAAGTTAGACGAATCAGAGGATGTCTTCCTTTTCTGGAGATCAGAGGAGGGCAGCTCCAATCTCTACTTTTTGGACGCTCAGAAACAGGCAGTTTCTCACGCTATAACTATGCTACCCTGAGCGGCCACAGAGTCGACTTGAGTTGACTTGGCTCGTGGGGTTCGGGTTCGGTGGGTGATATCCGTCGTAGCTTGGCAGGAGAATGAGCTTTGTGTTGTCAAGCAGATGGAGACATCTGCGATGGAAGCCAAGGAGAGCCGGGAGAGGCGCTAAGAGCCGGGAGAGTTTCATGATGTTTCATGGCATCTTCGGTTTGAAGAGGTGGTTCCGCTGGTTCCTGTCTTTTTGCGGGTCACTCGGGTCACTATAGATGAAGATGTGGCCATGCATTTTTGCTTGCTGGTGAGTTACAGCCAAACTCTTCTGCTCATGTTGGAATATTCTTTATTTTTTGCGTGAGCTTTAAAGGTTCAAACCCTTTGATCCACTGACATTGCTGAGGCTTTTATCAGTGGCTTCTCTTCCACCTGTGGGGATTTATTGGATGATCAATATAGACGCTGTTCCCAAAAGCACATCTGATTCTTAGTGACCACAACATATAAATCATGTCTATAGAACTATATATGTTGTGGGTCGTATATGACTGTATGCATGAGTTATATAGACTGTCTCTCATATATTCTGGATTTTTGTGAGTCAGTCTAAAAATAATTCATGCAGTCCCAATTATACACTGAAGACCATTGGCTGCCAAGGAGCAATGGCTTCGCAGTGTTCATCCAATTGTCTTCATTTCTCGGTGATAGACAACTGCTTAGATCCAGGAAGTGCTTGTGTTTGGAAACAAGGTCCTTTGTCGGCCATGGCTACTCTCATGAAATGAAGATCCCAAGACCCGGAGAACAATTGACATCTCAGGTGAATCGAAAGTTTGTCAATCTGGCCATCCCGAACTGTAGGGTTTGCCATGCGATTGTGCTCCTGGAACTTTGATAGCTGAACTTCTTGACCCGTGGCCAGCCACTGGACCAACCTGTCTCATGTCACCTCACCGTTTTGAAAAAAACACACATCTTCACTACCAGGACCTTCAAAGTGACCGTCCTTAATATCCCCGGAAGGCCCTTGGTCTATATAGGCCTGTATAAGGTCACAAACAGAGACTGGGACAGAAGGTCACTGACTGAAGGTCATGGGACAGAGATCTTGAACTTGCATCTATTCAATTCCAGGAATCGACGATCTATAGTAGTTTCAAAGTAGATGGCACTGGCACCCCAAGAGGCCTGTTAGATGGGGGTCCATATAAACCACAAGCTTGGGGATTGTGCCATCTATTCTGAAGCCACTACCTGGGAAACCAAACAACCAGAAACAAATGGATGTTTCCCCAACCATTTGTTTCAGGTTGTTTGGGTTTCCAGGTATACATATATATATATATATAGAGGTCTTAAACTTGGATCTCGAACTGGTATAGAGATCTGTTCGCGCAGCTTGGTCCAAGCTCCGCAGGAGCGGGGTGAGGCTGTGAAGGAAGCAATGCTTCTGAGACCCAGATGCAGAACTCATCGGAACTGGATGGATGGACGACACGGAACTGAGTTCGGCCCCTTCCATGATTGGCCAGATCTGCAGATCTGAACAAGTTCCAGATCAGGAACCCGATGCGCGAAAGTGAGACAAGTTTTGTTCTTAGAGCAAACGATTGTGTTTGGAATGTGGAATCAGGGACAACACAAGGTGGACACTCAATTCACTGGAAAATGCATGACAAGTTTCATTTGGGCCTTGCTGTGAAGAAAAAGAAGAAACCACATGGTTTCTTGAAGAAATAGACTGAAGACTCCAGTCAATGCGGATGTCCACCGGACCAACCGGTGGACTTGGCAAGCACCTCCTTTCAGCGAAGCACGGTGGGACTCGAAAGTTCCTTCCGCACGGTGAATGTTCAGGTGGTGCCCATATAACTTGGACTCTCGCGCGGTGCGCGCCGGAACAAAAGTGTGTAGTATGTTTTTCCAGAGAAGTGCTGACACTTTGTCCAGAGTGAGTGCTTCTTCGTTCGCTTTTCACGTCGGACTCGGGTAGCTCCGGACTTGTCGGACATCCCACACACCGCCGGGGAGCTTCCCCCGTGAATGCCGTGGATCGTCGGGACCGCACACCGGGTGGTCGGTGGGACCCCGCGTCGAAGCCGGTCGGCCGAGGAAAAAGATGGATCATCCCAACATCATTCGCTTCAAGGAGGCCGAGCCTTTGTGCCGAGCTGCGTCTGGCGTGGCGTGTTTTTCTTTTTGAGGAGAAAGACGAGAGGATCCTGGTCGAGAGGATCCTGGTGATTTTGTTGTTGTGTATATTAAGGACATGCCGGCAAAGAAATCATCTGAATTCTGGTTTGTTAGCTGGATTTTGTTTGGAGAATCAGTTCCAACACCAAGGAACATTCTTATGTGAACATCCATCATGGGATCGCCAAACTCTCCCAAGGTCTGGGCTGATGCAACTGGCATGGATCAGGGATGATCAGGGGGTCCAACCTTTTGAATCCCGGAGAATAGGTCTCTTAGGATATTTTGTTGGAATCGCTACTGACTCCCTATCCAACAACATCTCTCAACTGCAACCGGGGAAGGAGAGCAGGTTTCTGATGGTCATGGTCTAGTCAAGCGAGACGGAACAAGATCATGCAAATCCTTGGAGATGAAGTCAACCAGGACCATCCTGTCTGGGTGTCCAATGCAGATCCCTAGCTAGTGAAGGGTTTTCCAGCCAGGTGACTCAAACGGGATGGTCTTGGTACATCCTGGCACAATCGTTCTCCCTTGGACGAATGAGCATCCGTTTTTCCACCGAGCACTGCATAGTGGCCTGCTGATTCCTAGGCCCGCAGTGCTCTTTCTCTCACCGGCGACAGACAAAAGTAGGAATCTGTAGTGCAGGGGTTTTAGCACCAGGTTTTGCATGGTCTTTATATGTCTTTACCAACTCACCCCCCGACTCGCATCTACTCAAGATGAGAACATCAGCCTCTGAAGTCTTAATCCAGATCCCTGGAGTTGACTCCATCCGTACCAAGAACGGTGTGTTCTTCGCTTGTCGTTCGCTTGCCACACCGATTCCGGTCACCCAGTGTAGGTTTCATGGTCACAGGGCACCGCTCGTGTCGCTGAGCTGTGTTTGGCCCGAGCAGCAAGCACCCCACCAGCGAAACATGGCCGGGGGGCCCTGTCTCGGGACACGGCGTTCGTAGCGATGCCTTTGGCTACTAGTGGTTTCAGAGTAGATGGCATCTACCTTTCTTCCTTTTCTTTTTCTTTGTTTCTAAGAGCGATGGCCTCCAACCTATTTAATAGCATTTAGTTTCAGAGTAGATGGCACAAATCTCAAGATGTCTTTAAACCGCTGAACTTGTGGATTGTGCCATCAACCCTATGGCAAGCAAGACTAAGAAGCAGCTTTCCCAACATTGCTAAGCAAGACCAGGACCACGATGGCAACAACTATCAGGTCAATAGCTCTGACATCAACAAAATATGACAATATGACAAAATCATAGAAGCATCTGATCTGGAGTCAGCAAACAACAGCACCGCCTTTGCCACCGCCACCGCTGCCGCTGGCGGCGGCAGCCGCAGCAGCAAATAGGGTATTTTAAGTAGGGCATGCTATGTCGTGGGTCGGCAAGAATCATGTTGAGGGCCGGCAAAGGCCGCAAAGGCTCAGTTCCACTGTAGCTCTCTAAACCCGAAACCGGACCCGAAACGGCTGGCCGTTTTCGCTCTTTTTTTCGCTCAGTCCTTGCCAGGTGTCTTAACCGAGAAGGTGTCTTCCTTGCTTTAAACCTGAGCACTTACCAAAGCTATGAGGTCATGCGTATTGTTTTTGGGCCTGTCCGAACTTACCTGTAACAATCAGCAAGCAAGCAAATCACTATTTTTTGAATGCGACTGAACCATCATCATCCACTGTTACTGGTAATAGGATTGAGGAAAACCATTGTTTGTTCTTTCTTTCCGCCTGTTCAATTGAAGAGCAGTGAATGTATTCAATTTTTATGCAGCAAGTGGCACATATGCTTCAAAGCAGAGGCAGTTTTGGGTTTCAATGTGTTGATGGGTCAACACCTGGAGCCCGACCAGTCCACCAGGTAGGTCGTGCCCGGTCGGTCTCCTGGTGCCATGACCCGCAGCCATGTGTCTTACAGGTAAGTCAGTATGGGTGTGTAGCTCAAATAGGGAGACCTTCCAGGCAACAAACCCCTGGAAGATTAGGGAACTTAGACCAACACATCATGCCAAACCTTATTGGGCCACGGGCGGGGTCTTCCTGTTAAAAAATACACACCCGCATGGCATGGTCGGTCTCCCTTTCGTGACCTCTCCAGATGAATGGTGACTTTCCCCGGGCCCCCTTACGCTCACTTTTGGTATCTTAATGGTAGCCAAGGACTTGAACTTAGCTGATTTTGCAGGAAAGAGCAGGCCGAATGAACTTAGCCTGACAGATGGTGTGCTATGGACTGGCACTGACATCTTCCGATGAGGTCCTAGAATTATGAACATTCAAAGTAAGTGAACAAATAAGTGATGATCCTGAAAAAGATAACAAAGAAGCGAGAAGAACAAAGAAACAACACAAAAAGCACAAACAACGACACTCAACAACATGTGTACACATAAAAAACACAACACTCTGAGGAAGTGGTGCCATCGCATGACCTCGGAGGAGCGGGGACCGGACCGGAACGGACCGGAACGGGCCGGAACGGGGAGAACCGAGAAACCGACCGTTTCGGCAGAGGGAGCCCGGTATGAGTGATGAACATGCTTACATATACTCATGCAGTACTACTATAATATATAACCCTTTTTTTCCAGGAAAACTTTTTTTCCAGGAAAACTGAGGGAGGTAGATGTTTTTGTTCCCCAACTTGGGCCTTTTGTCGGAAGGAGTTGAAGTGGAAAGGCTCGCTGATCTTCGTTCAAAGATCACTTGGTCACTCATGCTGTGTGCCCGGTGATGGGGTTTGAACATGTGGTGAGAAAACCTATCTCAGATGTCTTCAATGGTCGACCAGTGAAGCTGAAAGTGGTTGCACTTTCACTCCACCTCTACATGGATAAGCATCTTCAACGGCCTGCGATTCCCGGTCTCCAACGGCTCCTCCGGTCGGACTCCCGATCCGCACCGACTCCCATTGAGCACCGGTCGTGGGACGACCAGTCGGCCCAGCTGAGCCTTCAGAGGGCTCCAGGCTTTTTTGGACCCATCTGATGACATGCTGATGACATGCTGAGATGGGAGGCAGAATCGCTTTTCAGAACATGGAGAATGCGCGGTCGCTTGAGCCGTGACGGCTCCCTTTCCTGTCCTCGAATCCAGATCGGGGCCAATTCTTTGGAATCCGGGCCCTCACTGAGGTATCTGCAGCAACACACAAAAACACATACAAAAACACATAGATTTCATATGACCGGATCCTTTCTGCTTGGGTGCCGAAGGCGTGGCAACCGAACCATTCCTGCATCTCCAGGATTGAACAACCACAAACTACCATTCTTGGGTACCACACCTTCTCGGCATGTCTCAGCCGCTCGCGAATCGGAGGCAGCACCTTTAGCAGCTACTTGTCCTCGACGGGCTTTCTGACTGCTGCCTCCTTCGGCCGATCTGAAGCGCTGAAGGTGGGAAAGCCGCCCGCTCCCCGGCGTCGGAGCGCCGCCTTTTCGCCGTCGCCGTGCTTTTGGTGCTTGACGCCATCCGGTTCAAGAGATTCATACCAAGGGAGATTCATACCAAGGGGTGGCCTCCCCCCAGATCGTCGCACCGATGGGAGAAGAGCCGATTGGACGAGCTAGTGGTCGCACCGGTCTCTGGGATCGTTCGATACGCGTACTGTTCGTACTGGCTTAAAATCTATAGACCATTATAGACATTTAAAGACTACTCTTGGCAAACTCGTGTAACATCAATAGAACTTTTGAATTGAGCCAAGACTCTTAAGTGTCTCGAGGTAAAATCACGTCCAGAGTATTTTCGACCGAGGGACTGACCACTGACTCACATATTACACTGCCCCGCTGCAATATGACACTGAGCTTGAAGCCAGGATTTTGGGAGAAAGCCATGGCCCAGCTAGCTTTTTCATTCAAAATTCCTCCAAAGTTAAAGCACCTCGTCTTGTAGTCAACACTTTCAGGTCAGTGACTGGTGGGGCCTCCCTTCCCTCGACTCGTCCGTCCCACTGAAGCCGATCTCAACCAGGATCGGCCGATCAAAAAGGATGGCCGAGAGGCGCGGCTTTGGGGAGAGGATCCACCACGGATCCACGAAGTCCTGGACCCTGGACCCTGGACCAAGCGCCTCTGATGTCGTGGAACAAACCGAGCAGGTGCTGCATCAACTGCAGGAGGTCCGTGTTTTTTCGACCGAAGCCTTGGTCCGCCAAGACCTATTCCATCGAAAGGTCGAGAGGGGCAGAGAGTCCGCCAAGACTGTTGACTATTGAATCTTCATGGGTCCCTGGGTTCAGTTTTTTGGTGATGGTGGAACGTGTGTTCTTTCATGTTCTTTCAGTCAAGACGGGATGGCAGATTGGATCCAGCCCCTTAGATCACATCTGAGACACTGCGACGAACACCGAAAAACATGGAAGTGGACCACCTGTTTCCAGAGGAAAGTAGTCTCATCCACGTTGGCCCATGTTTTCTGTGTTCGGAAAAGAGTGTCCAAGACCAGAAGAATGGCACTGCACCATGGCACCACTGCGACGGGGGCCCTTGGACAATGTCTCACAATTAATTAGCATGGAATAGCATGGATAGATATATATATATATATATGATATTAATATATTACATAAAGATGTACGTACTATCCGTACATATATATATATATATATGGATGGATGGATGGATAGATAGATGGATGGATAAACAGATGTCACAATTTACATGGATAGAGATATAACTACGATATATTATCATTATCCATATATCTACATGTATATTATATCATTATTAGATAGATGGATATATAGTTAATAATATATATATATATATATCTGCATTTTTTCCCAAACAGTGTGGGCACACTGAGGGGTTCTTAAGGAAGGTGTGCTTAGATCGCTGTGCGTCGCGGGCGTCTCCGGCTAATTCGTTGCATCGTCAATGTGCATCTCGACTGCGCAGGCTCGCAAAATCTGGGTGGCGGCAGTGGGTGCTTCTAGCAACTGCGCTCTCGTTGTCGCATTTTCGCACATGGTGATGACTTTTCGTGGCAGGCGCAAGGGAAACCTCGTGTTTTGGTGCTCCAGAAGCGACTTTTCGTGACAGGTGCAAGGGACCGGAGCTGTTTTACTTCGAAATGCAATTTTCGTGGCAGGTACAGCACTTTGGACATGGTGGTGATCCTTGAGGAGCTCAGATTTCGTGACAGGTGCAGTGAATCGTGACTTTTGGACATGTGGTTCGTTTGTGCAGATTTCGTGGCAGGCACAGCACTCTGTGACCGTCGAAGTGCAGATTTTGTGGCAGGTGCAGCACTTTGTGAACCTCGCAGAGCAGATTTCGTGGCAGGCGCAGCACTTGGTGAACCTCGAAGTGCAGACTGTGGCAGGTGCAGCACTTGTTGAACCTCGAAGTGCAGAGTTCGTGGCAGGTGAGCCTCGAAGTGCAGATTTCGTGGCAGGCGCAGCACTTTGTGAACCTCGAAGTGCAGATTTCGTGGCAGGTGCAGCACTTGGCGAACCTCGAGGTACAGGCGCAGCACTTGGTGGACCTTGACGTGCAGATTTCTTGGCAGGCACAGCACATGGTGAGCCTCGAAGTGCAGATTTCGTGGCAGGCGCAGCACTTGGTGAGCCTCCAAGTACTTTTGTGAACCTCGAAGTGCAGATTTTGTGGCAGGCACAGCACTTTGTGAACCTTGAAGTGCAGATTTCGTGGCAGGCACAGCGCTTGGTGAACCTCGAAGTGCAAATTTCGTGGCGGGCTTTGTGCTCTCAGATGCTCACCCTCTCACTCTCGCACTCTCCCACTTTCACTCACACTCACACTCCCTCACTCACTCTCCACTCTCACTCGCACTCGCGCTCACACTCACTCACACTCGCACTCACACTCGCTCACTCTCACCCACACTCACTCGCACCCACCTTCACTCTCACTCACACTCGCTCACGCTCACACTCACACTCACTCTCGTTCACTCACTCTCGTTCACTCACTCTCGTTCACTC